GATCACTTGAAGGTTCATTCGAAAACTTTCATTAGAACAATTAAATTACATGATATACCTTTGTCGTCGAATTTTCAACAAAGTTCTTTTTTTATAAACAAAAAAAAAACATTGAAAAAAAAGAAAAATAAAAGAGATAAAATAAAAAGTTAAATGAACTGGTGATGCGCGGAGAGTGTGCATCGTTTACTTCAAAATATCTACCTCGATTTAAGGATGAGTCTCTGGCGATTTGGTCTTCTGAAAGATGGTAAGTTCCTTTGTATAATTTTCTTTTTTTCTCTTTCCATGCCTTTACCGCTTGTTAAAGTTACAGATTACAAACGATCGATTTTTTAAAATGTCACCTCGATGACAGGCAATCTTTTGTCAGGATATCCGTGCTAACTCGTAGTTTAGTTAACGCGTTCACCCGTGAAAAGGAGAGGAAAGTGAACGAGCAGGAAGAGCTTTCTAAAGTTTGGAAACTCGACTTTTTAAAAAAATTTTGTTTGAAAAAACTTTCATGCGGTAATATAAGCAGAGAAAGAGGAAGAGGGAAGGGAGAAAGAAGAGAGAGAATTAAAAGCTTTTAACGGATGACAAGATACTTGCATCTGCATAATAAAGCTAAAGAGTTTAAGTATTTGTATCGTCGAGCCTCGAGCATTATAGATGCTTCGGTCGAAATCTCAAAGATTATCTTTGAGCAAGGTATAAGAAGTGAATTATTTTTATTCTCTCTCTCTCTCTCTCTCTTTTTTTCTTCTCCTTATTTTTTTCTTTAGTACATTTAAACTTTATTTTTTTCATTTAAAGTAAACATTATTTTCGTTTTGTTTTTAAGATAGAAAAACTTAGTTTGTGTAATTCTAAAAAAAATTTTTTTACATTGATAATTCAAAATGGATCATGTATATACACATATATATATATATATATATATATATATACATATATATATACATATATATAGAAAAAAAATCATCGTTATACAATTAGTATATTTCATGTCAGGATTTAAATATAAACAGATGCAACGACTCTATCCCAATAATTTTCTCTCTCTCCGTCTCTTTTTTTAAATTGATGCCTACATTGCACCTGGAAAAAGCGTTGGTGCTACAGAGAGATATAAACGAGAAGTAGTTTGAGTGATGATGAAATCGTGGATGGCGGAGTGCTAGGTGGAAAAAGAAGAGGAACGATTTTTCGTGGAGTGTGATTCGATGCGAAATATTGGTGATGGTTACGTATGTAATAAGAAGACTCTAAGACGTGATATCAGAGTCTCTATGCGATGCTTTCAAAATATACACGACTATCTTATACTTTTCTTCATTTTTTGTCATTCTCTTGTAACATCCTCGATCTTTATTCTATTATCGTTCCGTATTTGAATACTTTTCAACATAATTCTCACTTTTCCTTTTTGTACGTTTAACCCATGTTTATTTGTTATATTACAGATAACTGTGGATCGTTGAATTACGTGATAAACGTGTTATATATTTAAAACGATTAAAAGAAACGTATTTAAAGTAGTAAATACTAAATGAATAAAGTACACATATACAAGGAGATATTTGTATGTAGTTGTTCTTCATATTTTAGAATTTTTTGGCTTAGTATATGATGCAAGAATATAGCCATGAAATAATAATCATAACATTTAAAAAACACTCTTAAATACGTGTCGTCTGTCCTCCAAGTCACAGATAGTCTTCTTTGTCTACTCCGTGCTTCTTCGTTGTTCGTTCTCAGTGAGAAAACTCCACGCCCTTTCTCTGTGTCCTATCAGCAAATTGAAGCACGTCTTGAAAAATGTAAGACGGCGATGAAGCTGGCAGTTTCTACACGTGTGTGTATGCACATATATAATATACTTACATACATTAACATAGAAAGGAAGGCACGTTTTACAGCGGCAAGTTTCGTTGATTCGACGATATAACGAGACGAAGAGAGAAACTACATAGCACTCTCAGTAGCAATGCACAACGGTATATTGACATAGAAAAGTGGCGATGATATTGAATAAAATACTGACGAGACCATCGAAAGAACTCAAGCTTTTCTTATCGAGAGATACCGCTTGGTCTTTTCCTTCCTTCCTTTTTTCTTTTCCTTCTTTTGCACATTTCGCGACTATCTTCCTTTGAATTTTCATTCAATTGTTTACTTCCGCAGAATGATCAGTAAAAATGCAGATATACTAGGTATTCTTTTGTAAAACTCATATAACAAATTTTTATCCTTTCTTATCCTTTTATAAAACTTACATAACAAATATTTTTCGTTGAAATATTTTGATCAAATTTCTATAACGTTTTATAAAAATAAAAAATAAGAATATTACATTTTTTATTCAACGAAATAGAGAATAGTACTCGCGAGTTAAATAAAAAATAAAATTTCAATACGAGCATAGACAGGAAGAGAGAGAGAGAGAGAGAGAGAGAGAGAGAGAGAGAGAGAGAGAGAGAGAGAGAGAGAGAGAGAGAGAGAGAGAGAGAGAGAGAGAGGAGAGAGAGAGAGAGAGAGAGAGAGAGAGAGAGAGAGAGAGAGAGAGAGAGAGAGAGAGAGAGAGAGAGAGAGAGAGAGAGAGAGAGAGAGAGAGAGAGAGAGAGAGAGAGAGAGAGAGAGAGAGAGAGAGAGAGAGAGAGAGAGAGAGAGAGAGAGAGAGAGAGAGAGAGAGAGAGAGAGAGAGAGGGGAGATTTTGTTCTTAACGATGGTTAACTAAAATAGAAATCATTCCAATTTCCGTAGAAATCGAGAAGAAGTTTCTTGTTACTCTAGTAAGCAAGCAATTTCAATATCTACGAGAAAAAAAATAGTTATTTGTATTTTATTCATTCCTTATTATGTCTTTCTATTAGTATGCTCAGTTATACTTTATTTTTCCGTGCAGTATTCAAAATTTCATAAATTCACATTATATACAAAATACAAATTTTGAACTCGCAGTCCTTCTAAAATATTTCTAAATTCGCGTCAAACTACAAATTTTGATCCTTTAGATCTTTGAATATTAGCTCCTTTCTCTAGACTTTCCTACTTTTCCCTAATTGATTGATCTGTGTCGCTTACAATGTATTGGGTTGTGCGGAAAGTTTGTGCCGATTTTTGGTAGGTGGCATAAGGATAAAATCGACACGAATTTTCTGGACAAGCTAATATAAAACGTATTGCTATGTTGAAGGCGAACACATTACAGTTGTAATAAAGCCAAACTCTGTACTTAGTCGAAATGAAACCTTTGCTTTTTATGAATCAATGATCCTTAATTGTATTTTTTAAATGATACTCCAAATTCAGTACTTGATCTTGAGGGATTGAGTAAAATTAGGCATCACAATAAGATGCAAAGTAGTCTAAGTCGCATAAATCTCACAAGACTTTATTGAAACGACGGTTTCAAATCGAACGAGAAAATATTTATATACGTTGTACATTGATGTTGATCAAAAAATTGTTATGAGACACCGCCAAGTTTATGAAACGATTTCATAAACAAAAAAAAAAGAAATAAAGAACGTAAGATTCGTCGTTGTCGGTAAAGATGAACATAATTATCAAATGTGATCCAAGTGCGTTCCTCGTTTTTCTTGATCCTTCTTTTTTTCTTTTTCCGTTTATTTTATATATTTTTATCTTTTTCTTTTTCAAATCATCGTTTGCCGTATTCATCAACGTCACTGATAAACTCATAGCCGATGATGAAGTCAATATTTTATTATTTTTATCTCGAGCCTTTCTTACATGTTAAATCGAAGGGATGATTGCGTACACGACGAAGAAGCGATCATGTCTACCTGCTCGAGAATTATTTATAAAGTATAAGATTTAAGAAAAACAAAAGAAATATTTATTATTTTATCGATAATCGATAAGTTTAACGTTCTTATTAATATGAGTAAATATCAAAAACGTAGACTCTTTATCAACATTTATCGTGATTAACTTTGTATCTTTGCAATGACGTATAAAACAATATGCTTTTGTTATATATCAAGCGAACGGATAAGCTTGTGTCTCTCGTTTATGATTGACACATGAAGGAAGGAACTGTACATCGGCTGCTGAGCTCGAAAGATTAATGACGTCTTTCATAATAATCAACAAGATTTATTTCGCGCAAGTTCTGTATCGTATCTTCTAACGTTTTTGTTTTTATGTTTTTTCTTTAACATTCTGTTCATAAATTTTCGTTGTTACTCCTCCATAGAATGCGTCGTTCTTACACTCTTTCTTTACATTCTTATATCTTAAAGATACACATTAAAACGACTTTAATCGTTCGTTCATGTTCCTTCTCTTCTCTTGTATTTAAAGATGGAATGTAAAATACTGTGAATTATTTCGAATCTGTTTCGCTTATTTTGGTGATAAATTCGAATCACTTCGAATCTGATTTAAAACATGGAAAATATTGAAAGTCTTGATAAGTCTAGAATCCTTTACTACTTTTATTATTTTACTAATAGTGGACTCATTTCGAATTGCTTCAAAATCTGTATTGTAAGTTTGAGCTTGATTCCAAGCTAATACTCTTAAAAGACTTAATCGTCAATTTATATATTTCAAAGTCTTCAAAGTTTCGATAGATTTTGAAAGCCTGACGAGTAATCAATATCTTACAAGCTTTTTGTTTACTTTTGTTTTATCAACATGAAATATTTAAGAAAATTTGGAAAATTCGAATTAACACAAATACATTTGTTTACATTATTCGCTTTTATAACTTGCGATACAAATCATTAATGTTGATATGCAGGGAACGAAAAAAAGAAGAAAATAAAATGGAAAAAATAATTATATTACTTATTCAACAACAAAATTATATTTAAAGTCAATATAATGTAATATAATATATACATGGTATAGAGTATAGTAATTATATTTAACGTTAAATAATTACTACGACCATTTGAAAATTTTGCAGCTATTTGTTTTTAATTTTAAGATGTTTCACTTTAAACTATGAAATTTATACATAAAAAAATCACCACGGTAAAAGTTACGAAACCAAATACTGAAATATTCGAACTCAAGTCCTCGTATCCGGATATTCAAATCTTTGCAGTAACGTACAAAACAATATGCTTTTGTTATATATCAAATGAACGGATAAGCTTGTGTCTCTTGTTTATGATTGACACATGAAGGAAGGAACTGTACATCGGCTGCTGAGTTCGAAAGATTAATGACGTGGGAAAAGATTTCGAGTTACAATGAGTAATTCGAGTGCTGGAATATATACTAGGATATACTAATCAATGCCAAAAAAAATATATTAAAACATATCATTTTCAGCGAAAGTATTCATTGTCCCTAAAACGAAAATGATGAAAGATTTGAGACATATCAAGATTTTCAGGCGTTGTAAGTTTGGAACCATGTTCGAAACTACGAAACAATTCGAAAATGATGTTTTAGATCCCAGCACGTGAGACTATTGTGGTTTAAATAACGAAATTGACGAAAGACTCGAGATTTATCAAGACTTTGAAATGTATATCAACGATTTCAAGCTTCGAAAAAACTTCGAAGTTATTAAAGCGTTTCACGTTTCGTCGCTACTTGTACATATTCTCTTCTTATTTTTACCAGAGAAAATATTTTTCTTTTAGACGAGATAAATGAAGTTTAGGAATTATGATGAAAATGCTCTCAGTGAATGGATCTTAATCGATTTACGTGAGGTATATCATAGTAGAGATTGTGGAAATTTTTATTAAAATCTGTCCTGTTTATGAGACAGAATGTCGTAACGATTGAGTGAAAGATCTCAAGAAATCAGACAATGGGATAAACATCAAATGGGTTAAAACAATTGCTCGATGTAAGGGTTAAGATTGCTATTCCTTTTATAATGAAGATGTATAACAAAAGAGAAGAAAAAAGAAGAAAAGTTATGAATATTACTTTCTTCATTAAGACAATAATGTGCAGTAAAAGACTTATCAATGTCTGCCTATTCATTTTCTAATATCTTAAATAATCTTTCAAAACTTCTATAAATTTCTATCATCGTCAGATTTAAATATTTTGATCAAACTGCAAAGACAAAATGAAAATGTTCATATTTATAATAAAAGAAATTAAATCATTCGGTTAATTTGTTTAAGTATCTAAATGGATCCGAAGTCATATTTAATCTTATTATTGTATTACAATTACAAAAGATTCTAAAACAGACACCTCTCCAGTTTGATCATACATTCAATGACTGGTATTACGATTATTCTTATCGTTCCTTGAATGTCGATTAATTATTAACTAATTTTAAAAATATATCATAAAAATAATACAATGCTGATATTAATTATTTATAATAGGAATCTAAAGTTATTATTTGGTCGAAGTGCACGTTCATCATAAATTCGCTTATTTCAGTTAAACATCTATTCATAGCGTTTAAGGAATGGATGGGTGACCCCCACCGTTCGTTCTTTGCGGCGCTTCGTTATTCCTTTCCTCTCTCTCTCTCTTCTGCCCTGCTGCCTGGTGTTTTTGATATGTTGTTTCTCTCTCTAACTTTCTTTGTTTTCTGACTATCTCCAACAGTTTTTCTTTTCTGCTGTTATATACAAAAGCGTTTATATATTCCTAAAACTGTAAGATTATCTATCTTCTTTCGTTGTCAACACGATATATATATATATCATACATACCCTTCGTTAAACACACTGGATTTTCTGTCTTAAAAGAAAGTGCGGTTCAACACGAAGGAAGAATGAAAATTGGTATGTATCGCTCCACCCTGGGTTTGGTATTAACATTATCCGAACGTCCAGGACTGAACAGCCTATACCAAACATTTCTTTTAATTTTTTTTAAATATTTATAGCTCCGTTATAGACGTTTTTTAATATGTCAAACACATCATTGTACTTGTATTTTATCATTTTTAAATCATTTCTACTATCTATCTTTTATCATCTATCTTCTATCATAAACTTTTTAGTGTGAGCACATTACTGGAAAAGCATATTTTTGAGGCATTGGTGTATATATATATATTGTATATTTTATAAACAATTTCTTCAGTTCTCTGGAGAAAGCAGCACTCATCGCTCTATGGAAACTTTGGCTCGACGTTTCGCAATTTGTAATTTCTTGTCATCGAACAGCTGTATTTGAAAATTTGTAAAAGCATATCGGAATGTAAATGTGACAGATACTTAGCAGCAAACGCGTTTTATTTCAAGTAGTCGTTAAAAAGAACACTGGCTCATCTCTCTCGTCGTGTTTCTCTTTAATTACACGACATGCGCGTCACCCGATCGCTACTAAATCATGGATACGTAATTAAAGTCTCTCTCAGTAAGAAAAGAGAGAGAGGAAGAAAGAGAGAGAGACTCTTTATATCGTGCCTATCGAGACTGAAATCCGCAGCGTGTAATTCTTTAAGATGAAAAGTACGCTTTAAGGATGGGGAAAAGGTCATCGAGAAAGAAGAAAAATAATATTACTTACCATAGGAAGAAAGGATGAAACTGCGCATGGACGACGATGTTTCTCATATTTCAGTCGTTAGTTGTGACAGGGGCTAGACTGAGTTGAACCATCGTCGTTGTGTGTAGATTCGCGAGAGTCGGTTTAAATTAGCGAGTCTAGACGCTTCGGAAATACCACATGCACCACGTCATTCCCCATAACGCACCGTCTTTCAATTCGAACATTCGCGCTTCGATGCTGCTCTTTAATCTGTTTCCTTGCGCGAAATGAGAATTCATAGCTCGTGAAAGAAACAGTATACTTGAAGTATTAAATGCAATTCAGACATGAAGTATTTAGCATCGATCGTAGAAAAAAAGCAATCTAACGGCTATCGATCATTGTGTTTTTTATAGTGCTATCCTCCATTCGTTAAAACTCTGAAACAATAGATGGACATCGGAAGATGTCATTATTGATAAACAACTCGACATCATCATCATACAATTATTTGAAAATTTTTATCAAAGGTATATCAGAAAAGTAAGAACGATTCTGAGACAAAGAATCATAGAGGGACATTTCGTTAAATTCAAAAGAAAAACACTAATCATTGAAGAAACGAAAGAGCAGAGTTATGACGGAGAGAGGATAGATTAGTCGGTGGCTCCCCCCACCAGAGTTCTCCCCACCAATGCGCGCCGGCGGAACATCGTCCCGTGGTCGTTAACGTGGACGAGTGACGCCTCGTGGCGCTGCTATCGCGTACTAGCCCTCAGTGCTCTCGAGTCTTGCTTGGTGTGTGTTTCGTGGTGCGATTGTGTCGTCATTGCAATCGTCTTTCTTTCCTCCTCCTCTTCCTCCTCCTTCACCTTCAACTCCTCACCCTCTCTGTCTCTTTTATTCTATCTATCTATCTCTACGTCTTCTACCTTCCCGTTTCCTCTCTCACTCACTCATCTCCTCACGCTGTCGTCTCTCTGGTACTCTTAGCAGTCCGTTTGTTTGTACGCCACATCCCGTGCGTTCGCAATTAATTTCGTCGCGGATTCGTCCAGCCGAGTCCCCAACGTCTCGCCGTGTGCATCGATGAAAGGAGGCGAGTCGTTGGAGATTCGCAAGAGGTACGTTTCGTGCGTTCCGCAAGGAGTCGTTTGCTCCGCAGAGAGGAAAAAAGGAAGAAGAAAAGAAAGGACTTATGCTGTATCTCTCTTTCTCTCTCTTGCGTGTGTTTCGTGATCTGTTATGTGCCAAGAGTGTAGTGTATGGTTTGTAAAATAGCAGTGTTTCAACTGTTTCATGTGTGAATGCGTACAACATACATTGGACTTGCTTCGTCGTCGGCATTATCGTCGTCTTCGTCTAGTAGTGTAGTAGTAGTCGCGACATCGCCCAAAAAACTAATCGACTACAGAATTTTACCTTCCATTTCTATGTTAGCTACTTTCATGTTCAATTTTTCACCCAATAATTCGTCGGTTTTGTAATATTACTATTGTTATTATTATTATTATTATTATTATTATTACTACTACATTATTACTATTACTGCTCTGCTACTATTACACTACTAGTATTATTACTACTTCTATTGCTACTATTACTGCTCTACTACTATTACACTACCAGTATTACTACTACTTCACTGCTACTGCTACTACTACTGCTACAATAGAGTTTGATTCGGCGTCGCGCGTGTCGACGTCGTGTTACGTCCTCGTAATATCGTCGTGAGTATGCGCGTAGTATACTCTGTTTATCTATCATCGGCGCGCCCTCCCTTTCTCTCTCCCTCCCTCCGTTCTCCTCTTGTCATCGTCGTCGTCGTCGTCGTCGTCTTCGTCTTCGTCTTCGTCTTCGTCTTCGTCTTCATCCTCCTCCTCCTCCTCCTCCTCCTCCTCTCACTTACTCATTTTACCCGTTCTCTCACCTGCCGACATCATCACCAGCACGCAGGTGTCTCGCTTGCCGGCCATTGTCTCTGTGTGTCGTTACTGATGAAGAAACGAGAAAAATCTAAGAAAAAATAGAGAGAGAGAGAACGAGAAAGAAAGAAAGAGAAAAGGAGTAAAACATTAAAATCACCGAAAAATAACGATCTGTTGAAATGTTCCTTTTCGTTTTACGAAAACATATACATATTTCGTTTTCTCTTTTTCATTGTCGAAGGAAGATCAAAACAGAGCAAAATCAAAAATTGTCATCCATTTTTGTGGATCATTTTCCAATTATTTTTCATCCTTCTGCATAACCTTTCGGGATATACCGAATGTACTCGTGTAAATTTAGAGGTTAGGAATGTGTTAAGATTAAATTAGGTATACTACGAAACAGTATACCTAACTTTATTTTTCATCTCGTTTCTTCGTGTTAGTTCTTTCAATGTCAGTTTTTTCCCCTTTGTGAAATTCCATCCTACGAATTTATCTCTAATTTTTATCAATGTTCGTTGATCATTTTTTCTCTTGAAAATTAACCGAGCATCAGTCAATCTCTCTCTTTTTCTTTTCATCGGGTTCAGGAAGAAAGTCACGTTTTTCTTCAAAAAATGATATTCCTTGGTAAACATGTAAATCATAAAGGATTTACCAGTAGCATGCTCAAGGTCCTTCTTTTACATACGTTTCTCCATTTTTCGCAGATAAGATTTGTAAATGCCGTGAATATACTAACGTATTCTTCGACGATCTTTCTCTTGGGATATTTGAAGGAGACGAGTTAGAGAGAGAAAGAGCTTACATAATCGGGCTGAATATATATATATATACACATACATACACACACATATATTTACATAACAATGTTCGTAAGTAATGTAAGTATGTTTACGATGTAACAACATCGTGTAAGCCTGAACTCCTGACAGCAGTCGATTTTATATATATATATACACATACACACATACAGATACATGTACATATATATATATATATATATATATATATATATATATATATATATATATATACATAGATGTAACATAACGCGAGAAGGACGGAACGCGTGCATTCACACGAGCGTACGTATGTAGGTGATGCGTCACATCAGTCGAGGCTAATGTGAGCACGTTAAGATCGTCCAATTAAAATCGTCGACTGCTTGACGGTGCGAAGGAATACTGAGGGTGGAGTAATAGAAGTAGAAAGGAAAGAGAGTTGTACAGAGGGCAAAAGACGCAGAAGCAAAAGCTCTGTGTTTCTCTTCGAGCTCCTATAATAGGAAAAAAGAGATTTGTGTGTTGTGTTATCATTGTGGGACGAGGGCGGCACGATACGAACTATTCATACGACGATGACGATGACGATGACGATGACGATGACGATAACGATAATGTCTCGGCCGTTGGCGTCGATTAACACGCTTTGCCTTTTTCGTACTACGTAGAAAAACAAGGAACGTCTATCCAAAGAAAAAGTGGGAAGGAAGATATCAACAGCAACAGAAAGAAAGAATAAAAGGAAGAAATCATCAGGTTTTCATTCATTCGAATTCCTTCTTGAAAGGGAAATATAAGCCGTTAATATTTTCTTACGTTTTTCTTTAACAACATTCGATTCTATCTTATTGCATAAAAGTGTTGTTTTCCTAAGAATATTGAATAGGGAGAAGGGAAATAGAGATCGATGTGTGTAGTAAGAAGTGAGAAATGAAAAAATAGATCATAATCGTCGATACGTGGTTGGTTTCTCATCCCAGGGTTTCTAATCAAAAACGACGACGACGACAGGGTCATTTTTAGAGAGATCCTTTGGAGTTCGAGGAAATCTGATTCTGGAGCTACTTCCATCGCGGAAATCCGCTAGAGTCTCCGTGATTGATCAAGAGGAAAAAGGAATAGGAAAAAAGAGTATCAAAGGTGGTGGAGGAGGAGGAGGAAGAGAAAAAGGGGGAAGGGGAGAAGCGAGGAAGGAAGATTTTTTCTTGGTGTCGGATAGTTGGAATCGTCAAGCCGTGGAGCCGCATCATAGCAGCAAGGCACGACGCGAGCCGACCACTCGAGCAGCCGTGCGTCAGGATGTTCCTTGTGCCATTGAGAGGACCCATCCGGTAGCTCCGTTGCCGGCTCTTGTCGCGATCTTCAGGCCTTGGAGGAGGAAGAATCGTGTAGGACAACATTCAAAGGAACGATCGGGGAGGAAAATGTCGGTCAGGGTCAGCGGAGTTTATTTGGTGCCTGCTTCGGCCACCAACACCACCATCAGTAGCGAGGCGAATAACGAGAGGAGTAACAATAATCTCGTTCCTTTGCACGAAAGCAATCTTCAACAGCAAGCCCAGCAACAACAGCAACATCATCATCACCATCATCATCAGCAACAACAGCAACAACATAAACAACAGTACTATGCTACTAAGACAGTCACCATCGCCACTGCACCGCAACGGAGCAATAGCCTCGATTATTTAAACTTCGAAGAGAAACGACAAATCATCGCGTCCTCTTTGTCCCTAAGTGATTTTCTGGCTCATGGGCCTGCCGCTGCAGCGGCAGCCGCGGCCAAGGAAGTTGCAGCGAATACCGTCATTGGTGAGTACCGAAGAATATCCTAAGAATTTCAAGAGACAACGATAAAGACTCATTCGATTGACCGTGCCAAGAAAACGAGACACCCCATCGTTTTTTCTTTTCTTCTTTTTATTCTTATTTATCGACTTTCTAAGGAAATGCTTCGTTCCACGGTAAATTACTGACATTTTGTAGGAAAAAAGAAGTAAACGGTTGTTACGCAGTTAGGAAAAGCTGTTCCAGATCCAAACGAATAGTAGTCTCATCTTTCCGGGGTGAGGAGAGCAGAACGTATACCTTCTACTCGCGTTGCCTCTCCTTTTTCTCTTTTTCTTTTTTCTATGAGTGCTTCCCTTTCGCCCTCCTTTTCCTCCTCCTGCTCTCTCGTTCTGTTTTCTTCTCGACCTCAGAAGGGAACCTTTCCTCAAGGCGGATCTCTGTAAACTCCTGACGGACAACTACAAGCGGAATATCGCGACAACGCCTTTGCAACGTTGCCAACTGAGTCACGTGCGCTTCCAAAGCTGATGATCGATGATTGGTCTGTGCGCGCTCTACGCGACACATAATCGGTCTTCTCTCGTATCTTCTCGACGTCGATGACAACTACGGCTACGATGATAACATGACCACGACGGCATACCGTTCTTGAAACGACCTCGACAAATGCACTTTTCGGCAATGTTTCCTTCGAGATTGAATAGTTGTGACGTCATTTTATAACTTCTGACCTATGCAATGATACTTTTCTTACTTCTCTTTGCTTTTTTCGATTAGATTTCTCGGCGAAAAAAATAGCTTGAATTTCAAAATTTGTAATTTATCTTTTTTACTTCTTTTAGTATTTCTCGATTAAATTTTTTAACAAAAAATCGAAAATTTTCAAGTTCTTAATGAAATATTTGTCAATGAATAAAAGAAAACATGGCCGATATCTACAAAGGAAATAATACTCTTAATTTCAAAATTTCCAATGATACTTCTTACTTCAATTCGTGCTCCTTGATTATATCTTTAGACATAATATAGACAATTTTCAAATTCTTAATTAATTACTTGTCTATGCGTGAAACAACACATTAATTTGTAAATCTCTGGTGATCATCTTTTTCCTCTTCGTATTTCTTGATTAGATCTTTGACATAATATAAATTGTTTTTAAATTCTTAGTTAATCGTTTATCTATAAGGGCAAAAATCTATGATATGATCCTTTTCACTTCTTTTCGTATTTCTCGATAACAAATTTTGTCATTATTAGTCAATCGTTTATCAACAGGAGACAAATTCTTATGATTCTTTTTATTTCTCTTTGTATTTCTTGATAAGAAATTCGAATAACACGTTTGCTAATGAATAAAAGCAAATGTAATTAACATCGTACGAAGCAAATGGAATGAATATAAAAATCAGTCGAGACAATCTCTTTTTCCTGTTGGCAATTAAGCTTCATCGGTGATTCCGGGAAGCGATGACGCGTTTATGAAGCACGAGAGTCTTTTGGTACTCCAATCGTGTAGGTACGATAAATATCACCGTTCGGCCTAGAAAATGTAATTGTGCAATATTTAATAGGATAGTGGAGGAAACGATAAACTGTCAGTGTGACTGATAGTCGTTGAAGCGGATAACGGGCGCAGAATGTACAGACTTAATGTGGCAACGCCGCACGGAAATCATTCATTGAATGGAGAACCGCCAGCTTGTCAGCGGCGAGTGCTCGCTCTCAACGGGTATGGATAACACATGCAAGCGTGCGTACGGGTGCACAAATTTTGTACATGGAACGAAACTCATCTATTTTTGATTAATAAATTCATTGTTCACCTATCAATCGAGATTTGAATTTTTAGTTAGAAATTCGTACTTGATAATGTTTCGATCAGAATTTATTATGGTTCTGTATTCTATTCGAAATTGAATTCCTCTTATATGTACACTGTATAAGGAATTACGTTTTTAAATACATATAAAGAAATTAGTATATGTCTTATGTTTTTGCAGCAGTGATAACAGATGTAAAAATGTCTTATCAAATTTTTTTTGAAAGATTTATGTTATCCATATTATTATTATTATTTTAATAATATCTATAAGATTATTATTATATCTTGTAATATTTATCACACACACACACACATTTTATCAGAGTTGCATAGATAAATGTATTTATTCATTCATTATAAAAAAAATTTTTAAATGATAATTTTGTTTCTTCATAATGTAATATACTAATTCTTTAAATATTTATTTAAAATTGTGAACTTCGTTCGATATAGAAAAATTATTCAGTTTTAAAGTATCCGAATAAATATACCTATGTCGAATAATAAACACGTGATTTGATTCAACATCATATTTTTTGTTACTTTCATGCATTCAAAAAACCGGTGTAGAATCATGTTATTACAAAAACGATCTGTATTTTTCCCCGTTCAGTTTATCTCTATCGTTTGATTCAACTGCTTGAACTTATTCATTTTTCAAGCGCTTTACTTAGCGAGACAATAGTCCGAAATCGTTTTATCGTTTTACGGAAGAAACTCGTGGAGAGAACGAACGAAAATTAGACGGAATACTAGATTCTTTTTTCTATGGAATTGTAAGTTTAATGCGTCGTGGTTTTACTACTAATGTCATTACGAAAGTAAATTCGATATTGATTTCAATACGTTGCTTCTGAAAAAAATTCTTTCTCGATTTTTATTGTCTTTGCCTTCTGCCATTATTTAAACAAGATCGTTTGATAATAACAGTATGATCATTGAAACAACAAATGTTTTTTTTATTTTTGAACATTTCGGTAACTCGATAGAGTAATTGATAGAAATGTTACAAAGATACGATCGTTGATATTTAATATTTTCTTTTCCTTTCAACGAAGAAGCAACAAGAAATAACTATAAGAAAGAAAGAAGGAAGAAAAAAAAAAGAGAATTTTCTTAAATTCTGTCGAATAATTTCCCCGAAGAAAGATGCAAGGAGAAATAAATGAGACATCGTATTTTCTTTCTTAAAATGTGCATTGGCGTGTTTCATTACACATTTACGTAATTACCCTCGTTCTATCTGACGAAGAGTTGGTGTATCGAGATTATCAGTTGATTCTTATTTTTAAACAATAATCTTTGCTAGTCGTAGTAATAGTAGGCAATAATAGAAAAGGAAGAAGAAGAAATCGTAGGTGATATTCATTGGTAAAATTTTGAATCTTTCATATTTTCTACCGAGAGAATACGCTACATAATTTAAATTTCTCTGCGATCTAACCTTACTCAGTAAGCCATTGTAAAGCGCGAAATTCAAATGTTGAGTCGCTACTGACTCTGAATTGAGAATATTTCTTTAAGTGAGAATAACATTTTCTTTCCTTATTTTTTTTTCTTTCTTTCATTCTATCTTCCTTTTTTCTTTCGTTATGAATGTTTTCATGTTGAGATGGATTCTTCGGATAGGGTTATTGAACGAGAAAGAGTCATAAGAAGAGGTTTGAACTCTAGGAAATGTGTCTCATGGATAATTCATCCTCTCATTTCACGATTCTGTATAGCCAGAAAAAGGCCTTTACCGAGTAACAAGCAAGGGCCTCGAAAAAAAGGAAAAGCTTTTTCTCATCCGTGCTATATACATACGTTACTCTACGATATCTGGGCCTATTATCTGTTGGTGTAGCTTTTTAAACTCGCCGATGAAATCGTTTCAATCTTCTCCATAGTTTTCTCTCATAATCTCGAGGAAAGAATCTCCTTTAGATTTTCATCTTTATTGTATACTTTTGTTTTTATTTTAAGGATCTCTTCTTCGATAAGCTCGAAGAAAAAAAGAGCACGTTTTTCGAATTCGAAAAGAACTTCGATAGTTTTAAGTTTAATTCTCTATGATTCTCTAATGAACAAACAAGAACGTTTCCGTTAGAAATTTAAATTCGATTCGTTAAATCTGAATTCGTAGTTCTTCTTTCCGAATTATCAAAGTTCATATTTTAAGTTTACTCCAAATATCAAGGTTATATATCCCGTAGCAATCATAAATTTGATGCTGAAATCGATACAGTGAATCGATGAGATATTTAAGAGATTGTTTAGCCTTTCCGGCATCGTAAAGAAATGAAGAAAAGATCTCTAGTAAATTGAGATATCGTAGAATTAATGTTGTCAAGGAATAATGATTTTTCTCGCTCATACTCTTTCTTTTTCTTTCTCTCTGACATACAGTTTAGTGAATGATCGCAGCGTATTGGTATTTGTGGAGGTATCTGGCAAGTGGCAAAAAGGGGGAGGATGAACAACTTCGAGCTATTTGTGACGATGTTCGATATCGATCGCCATTTCTCATGACAGCCAGAAAGCAATAAAGAGAGGGGGGGAGAGAGATTTTCCAATGCCAGGACTGTAATTTTCCATATGAACTTTATCAATTCTTTGTTATACATTTAGACACGCACGAGTTGAAAAGCACGTTTAGTTATACTTTTTTCACAATTACGAGAATTTCCAGTGTTAAAATTTCAATGGAATCCCTTCGTTATGTAACGGTCAACCTACATACCTTCTTATATATGGAAACGTCATGGGAATGTCAGTAAAACATAAGTATAGGGTTCATGCTTTTTGCTTCATGTTTTTTATTCCATTGGAAAGTTTCGCTTTAATTCGAATTGCTTCGTAAATTTGAAAAATATTTCTTCTTTGATAGATGTCCATTACTTTTTTAATCTTCAAGATACTTTCGCGTGTTTCTATTAGAAAATTTAAGTGTAGTAGTAATTTTAAAAAGATCACGACTCTCTCTCCCTTTCTCTCGATGTTAAATATAAAGGAAATTTATTTTTCACATATCGAGATATCGTCTGCGTTGTTGCTCGAAGTACTTCAGAAGAATCTTTCGGCGTTATTTATGGAACTTAACGTCCATGAAAAGTTTCTTGGATTTATTTATTCCCTCTCTCCTTCTCGACATCGTTTTCATTCGTTTGATACATTCCACTAGCCCATCTTATTCGGTTCTCTTGGGAAAGATTCT